CTGGAGTCTTTTCCCAGATGAATTCATATTACTTCATTCTTATCACTTTTTTTTACTCTTACAGAGCAAAGTCATCAACTGTAATTACCTAATTCCAAAATCAACATTGCAACCCATAAGAGTGGGAAGAGGGAAGGTGTGTGTTGGTATGAGACCCAAGAGTGGAGGGTTTGCTATAACTTCCTCTGGGTCTACCTAATGGTCAAGTGTTGAAACTGAATATCAACAAAGAAACTGAAAATGGTTGAAAATGCCAATCACGCTGAAGCAAATGGATCTTTGCCATAGAAGTATAAATTAAATTAAGAATGCAACCGACCAGATAATTAATCCAACAAAATCTTACAAGAGAATACCCAAGATTCGTGAAGATTCCTTTTAAGAATCGGGAAGAAATAGATGATCAAGATCTGATCTCGAGGTGTGACCACATCAAGATATTTCTGGCAGGGATCTCCTCTGGTTGTGAGTTGCCGATATGGTCGGTATTTTGTCTCTGAGATTCTACACGTTGACCCAGTCAACCCCATCATGGTAGAATATGGAAGCCAGAAGGTGGAAGATGTGATTTACATCATTATTGAGCTTGTGATCGCTGTCTTGTCTGTGTTGGGCAATGTCCTGGTCTGCTGGGCTGTCTGTCTGAATAGTAACCTGCAGAATGTGACCAATTTCTTTGTGGTGTCTCTGGCCATAGCAGACATCGCTGTTGGTGTGTTGGCTATTCCCTTCGCTATCACGATCAGTACTGGCTTCTGCTCCCACTTCTACGGATGCCTCTTCATTGCCTGTTTTGTATTAGTGCTAACCCAGAGTTCTATCTTCAGTCTGTTGGCCATAGCCATTGACAGATATATTGCCATCAAAATCCCACTCAGGTAAGAAGACATTATTACCCAATCAAATTATCTGATTGATTACTACTCACTCATTGTTCAACAATAGGATTTGAGAATAAGAAGGGTAGCCAGCCAGACCGTTTTCACCCATAAGCTTAAGGACGTGTAAAGTGAGTTGCTAGGGAATGTCTGTGTCCCACTTTTTTGATTAACTTGGTGAAGTTTTAAATTTATCTGTTAAAAAGCTACAATTTTCAGCAAACATTATACACTTCCTAACTACATGGAAAAGTCTACACCATGACAACAACTTGCACTTATACAACACTTTCCACAGAGGATAAACATCTCAAAGCTTCATAGAAGCAATAAGGAGCAGGGAGGAGAGGAAGAAGAATTTAAAGGTGTTCATTAAAGGATCAGCCAAAGAAAGAATGTTTAAAGAGAGGTTTGAAATCTGGGAGAAAAGGAGCTTTTTATTGTAAACCATGAAGTACAATGTTTCAGTGCTACTGCACTGGGTACCTGTCTAACTCAATATTCATACCTGAACCAGGCAAGAATTAATCACCACATTTTTGGCAATTGCAATAAAACTTAACACAATGTTTACCCCTTTGTTCTTCAGAAGGATTCTTTGACAATATTTGAGGTCATTAAGTTTGCAGAGCCCAGCTTTCCCGAAAATCAAAGTCCACTTGTTCCTGCTTGGGCCCAGCTGCGTTCCTCATTGATTGGGTCATAGAATGACAATCCCCAGATAACTGACAGACAACAACAATAGTGAAGGGTCAGAGTTATCAGAAGCACGTTATCACTTTCTGATATTAGAAACCCAGTGGTTTAGTGATTGATTGTCCCTCTGCCCTCTACCCAATCAGCTTACTGTACAACAACAACAAATTCCACTTGTATAGTGCCCTTCACAGCAGAAAGACATCCCAGTAATTGTTTCCTTTAAGGAGTTGACTAAAATGACTATTTGAACAATTGGACTATTGTATTAGACCATTGTCTGCAGAAGACATTGATTGACTACTTTTGACCTGAGACGCCGAATATATAATAAAATCCTTACATTTGATATCAAATGAACTTTCAAATGTTTTTGTCTTGATTATCATGTCTTCGAGACATCTCAAAGCGCTTCACAAAATATACTGTAAAATGAATTGACTGTATATTCTGTGGGCGAAACGTGGCAGCCAATTGCACACAGCAGTGTCCCACAAACAGTCATGAATTGGGTGACCAATTTATTATTATCTTGGGGATACTGGTAAGTAGAGCATTGAAGGTGTATGACAGTGCAAGGAAAGTTAACAAACTTTGGGGATATAACCAATAGTAAAGTGAAGTAAAACCTGCCACCACTGAGAACAATCTCGGGGGGGGGGGGAGAGTGGGGTTCTTGTTGTGCTTCCTCCTGGCTCTACTTTTATGTCCCTTTCATTTTGCATGATAGGAGTTCATACCAGTTCAAATTGAAAGACTGTGAATTGCCTAAGGCTGTTGGTTGCTTACTTGGAGATTATACTTCCTGAACAGCTGTTCAGAAAACACTGTTTCATTCCACTACTGTTCTGCAAAGGAAGGTTTAGCCCCTATTTCTTGCGGCAATGTGAACTTTCAAATGTTTTTGTTTTGATTAAACATTTGTGTGCCTTGAGAACCAACCACATCCTGCTGTGTTTATCAACGTCTGAGGAAAACTCTGGTCTTTCAACATACATTGTATATGTTTCAAATCTTGGAGGTCATTTCTCCCATAGCCAGTAATGAACAATCTTCATAAAGAGTGATGTGCAGCTTATGTAACATAATTAAGACCCTTTCTGATCAGAATGAGAAGAATTATCACGTATAAATACAACGCTTATCCATCTCCCGATATTCTTTGTCTTCTGAAGGTATTGACCCAGATTTCAACCACCTTCTTCTTGTGAAAATCTAGACATAGAGTGGCAGCAGTATGTGTGTGTGTGTGTAGGGGGGCCGAGGGGGGGGGGGAATCATCACAGCTGACAATCAGTGATCAGGAGAAAGAGTCTTGGCTTCTCTTCCTTCCCTGACACCATGTGCACACGTCACCCTGAGGGTACAATTGTGACTCCTGTGCCAATGGTAGACCTGGCAATGGAAAATCAGCAAAGGCAGTCGCTAATCTAATCAGCATTTTTGTGTATAGCAGGAGCTTGTCATTGGGTCTGCTGACTTCATCTGTAACCAGAATTTGGTCTTACATGTAGTCATGTAGTCACTTTAATATCCTCAAATCAACAATCAGCATATTGCATCGGGTATTCTCCAATCATGGATTACTGTATGATAAGCCATAGGCTAACAGTGTTGGCACACACTTAGCTGAAACTGCACAAGTCTGCTCTACATTGGAATGGTGTTTGTACACATTAAACAATCTTACATTCTGGTAACATATCCCATGGGACAGTTGCCGGAAACATTCAGGAGTAACATCTACAATGCATCTGGGGTAATAATTCATTTTTTATTTGAAGTCTTAGCAACATATTTATATTTAACATTTGCTGCGCTCGATCTGATGGACAATGTACATAGCTGAAGTGCTCAAAATCTCTGCATGTTGGTGGCAGAATTGTCCATTCATCATGACTTATATTGCAAATATATTGCTGCTCCCATTGAAGTGTTATTCTGGCCAGTAAGTTGTATAGAAACATAGTTGTTACAATTATCACCAATATGATCATCTTCTCTATTGCTTTCTGTAGCAGGAAATAGGCAATCCCTTTTCACTAACTAGTACTTGAAATACATGACCATATCCTCCTATAATTATCATGGTTAAACAGTTTGTGGAAAGTTTAATTTCTAGTTAGGAAATGACTTTTTTTATCAGGGTAGTATGGAAGCAGGAAACAATGTAAAGAACATTGTAAAATAGAATTTATACTATTTTCCTGCCATTTCATCATATCCCCTGATAGCTCTGCCCACTAAATATTCATCTATTTCCCTCTTAAATATTTAAATTGACCTGAAACACACAATAACTGTACTTATAGAGCACACTTCACACAGGATAACTTCTCAGAAGTCTTCACAGAGCCTGGTTGGTCGCTGAGTTAGGAGGAAGGATGGAGGGGAAGAAGTGACAATGCGCACAGTCAAAAAGGTAGATTTAAAATTGGGATTTGAAGATAGGTAGAGTGGGGTGAAGTGGAGGGCTAGAGTCACAGAGTTCCAGAGGATGGAGGCATTAGGGTTGGCCATGATGGTGATGTGATGGGGTTGAGGGTCGCCTGGCTGAGGTTAGGGGAAAGGAGTGGGTATGAGATCAGAGGGACAGGCAGATGCTTGGGTGTGAATGGATTTATATGTGAAGGTGAAGACAGTGAGGTCAATCCATTTCGAAAGGGAACCAGTGGAGCCTGGCAAGGGTTGTTGTTTCAAACTACAAATTGGGGATAGATCATTGTATACTGTCAACTTATGCAGTTTGCCAGCTTCCGTTGTCACTTTTTTATAACTTTCTCATAAATCTTGGGGAACAATGGGGTGAAAAATGCAGCATTTCATACTGGATGTGATATGATAATTATTACATTGAATCTTGATGAAACACTACTTTTTCACCCTTTTTTCCTCATTGAACTGCACAGCCAATTAAAATTTTGTAACTGAAGCATATGGGGCCAAGATTGAGGTATTCCAAAACACATTCCATTCTCTTTCAAGGAATTCCATTAAAATGTGTTTTACATCTCAATATGAAACTAAAACTTATGCAAATCATATTGAGTTTAAGTTCTCAACCCTGCACTAGCTGTGTGAACTGCTACAGAGGCCACATAACACATAAATTCCCCAGACTAAATTGGTTGCAAGGAAAGATCCCACTCTGGTCAGTGAATAGTACCACCCAAGTGCAGGCAAAACCTGCAGCTTTTTAATACTATTAATGAGCTGGCTGTATGCCAGGAGTGGTGGTGAATTGCACACTCTCTTCAGCTCCTGCATTTAACAGCTTTGAAAATCCTGTTGCCTGCTCCATTGCTCTACTACTGGAGAAATGACAAATCATTCCAATGTATAAATAAGGTGTGCAGCACAATTCCATTTTTGACATAATTATGAGACGAACGAATATATTGAAATAAACCTTCTTTTGTATTGCAGGTACAATGGTTTGGTGACAGGTCAACGTGCAAAGGGAATCATTGGTATTTTCTGGATTCTCTCCTTTATCATTGGCTTGACCCCAATGTTGGGTTGGAACAAATCAAATCACATTGAAGACGATCAAATGAATGGAACAATTAACTGCAGGCATGGCATGGTCCCATGCCTATTTGAAGAGGTAGTAACAATGGATTACATGGTTTATTATAATTTTTTTGCCTGTGTGCTAATGCCTTTACTGATAATGTTTGGAATTTACCTGAAGATTTTCATGGCAGCCCGTCATCAACTCAAGCAAATGGAAATGAAAATAGTGCACACTGAGAGGACACAGTCCACTCTTCAGAAAGAGTTCCATGCAGCAAAGTCCTTAGCTATCATTGTGGGTCTCTTTGCTGTGTGCTGGCTTCCATTGCACATTATAAATGGTGTTAACCTCTTCTGTCCAGGCTGCAAGCCACCTCGCCCATGGATGATGTACATCGCCATCGTCCTGTCACATGCTAACTCGGTGGTGAATCCTTTCATTTATGCGTACAGGATTAGGGAGTTCCGCATCACCTTCCGGAAGATTATAAAAAGGCACTTCCTGAGGAAGGCAGAACATTCGTTCAAAAATCAGAGCATAAGGAGCTCCATTCATACAAATGAGGAAAGAATAAATGTTGATGTCAACGGGTATGTTTTAGATATTGTCGCTGCTTGTGCCATTGAGAAAGATGATGCTGTAGAAGACAACAAAAATAAAGAAATTTGCCAGAATGGACATGCAACGGATTGCCAGCAAAATGGAACTAGCAAAGAATGCCATCTAAACAAGGCTATTTATGATCCAAATGGTGACCGGCTGGAGTGTCCTGAGAGCGGGGACTGCTGCGAAGTCCACCTCAATGCAGCCTTTTTAGAGAAGACTTCCTGTGTGGCTCTCACCGACGTCTCCTGACCTTCATTTAAACTTGGCTCCAACACAGTTTGTGTCCTCTTTGTTATCAAGGTAGCAGGAGAAGAAAGGATGTCTGTCATTCCATGGTACAACAACGCTGAGAGAGAGAGACTCAATTCCCAAGGAACAATAAGGGGACAATAAGTTTGGGGTTAGGTAAAAAATGTTTTAGGAGTAATGGCAGCACATGAATAAAACCTTTGTTTTCTGGGAAGTTCCTGAGTTTCATTTAAGTGCTTCCATCCTCGGACAAATCTACAGAACTAGCCAGGCTCTCAGGTTTACGTTTTCGGAACATGTAAATCAACAGGACCAGGAAAGACCATTGCAGTGCATTTGCCATTTCCCCAAACTTGTTTTTTTGGCAAGAGAGCCCAAATGCTTAAAGTCTAGGTAGGCCAAGCTCTAAGAAATGGATATGTGTTCTCACACTAGTTCAGTGACAACCATATTTATATGTATGTGGTCTTTATGTGTGCTAAATTTACTTGGATTATTCACGTACACTCACACAAGACAAAGAACATGACAATATCAGCTTGGCTAAGTTGGTAGCAGTCTCGCCTCTGAGTTAGAAATTTGTGGGTTTGAGCCCCACATTGAGACTTGAACTCGCACTGTCTAGGGTGACACTCCATTGCAGTGCTGGGGGTGAGTTTTGCAATGTCAGAGGTGCTGTCCTTTGGATGAAATGTTAAACCAAGGTCCTGTCTGTTCAGGAGAGGCATTAAAAATCACATGGAACTATTCGAAAAGAGCAGTGTCCTATCCAGCATTCTCCCAAAATAAAATTGGTCATTCAGTTACTGGCTGATTATGAGACATTGCTGTGTGCGAATGGTTTGCCGCGTTCTCCTGTCACTCATTTCACAACAATATCTTGTGAAGCCCCTTGTCTTCCCACATCTGTTGAAGATTATAAGGATAGACGTGGACTGAAAATATTTACCTAACCTTGCCTCATTTGACTTCAGAATTCAGCTACACTTAAGCCTTGAAATATTGTACAGATCAAAACCTAAACCTTTATAACACAGCTATAAACATTCCATTTCAGCAGGTCCTTTTAAGCTTTGAAAATCAGAGAACAGATTCTTCATGCTTAATCCTAATGTGAGCGTCTGCAAACTATTCAGCCAAATAGGACATCACAAGCAATCCTTATCCAACATCCACATATGTACCTTTGACCAGAAATCACTGGAGAGCGATCATGAATGGTAACCCTAGCTGATTTTACCTCTGCCTAACGTGGAGACACAGGCCAATTGTACACTCATCGTCTCCCCAGCTGAGAAAGCTAACTCAGCACAGACTAAGTATCCCTAGTGGGACTTTTCAAAATGTTGGCAGAACAGGCTCAACATCTGAATGATCTACTCTTGTTTCTCTGACTCAGCATCACAGTGGGCAGTGCTTTTACTAAACGAGCCATTGGGAGCACCTTACCTGCTGAGTTAACTTTACCTATCACAGTTCTATTTTAAAAATAAATTGAACTTGTATATATTATACAGAATAGCAGAATTACAAGGGTTTGAATTTTAATGCTTTTTTAACAAATGTGGAGCTCTTCTCCTGTACCTAGGAAGCACTCGTCTTATCACCAAGCACCTCTTTAATTCACTTGCTGCTTATACTTGGACACAGAATCATTGGCAAAGATCAGGTTTCTGCCCGAATCACAGGAGATGTCAAAATCATTTGAACACTACCATCAAACACTTTTTGACCCACAATAATTGTATTCAGCATCTCTAATTTATCAGAACTCCTGGGCCCCAAAGTTATCAGCTACACATGCACAACACAGTTCTGGGATTCCTATAAGAGAGGTTCAGTGATTGTGTTGACTTGGTCCCACCAATAACATATATCATTTAACCTATAATTGACCCTGTGGACTAAAGAATAAGAATAGCAGCTGATTCCTGACTTTAAATGCTTAAGATTTACAAAACTAGACACTGGATTTTGTGATTAAGATCGGGAATTCAAAAAAAATTATTTATTATGACTGTAAAATATTGATATCTTGCTATTTTTATGATGAATGTATTAACTGTTGAAAAAGTTATAAAAAACGATTATACAGAGACATAACTGTGTAGAAAAAGTTAGATGAATATTGTAGATATTGACAATATGGGATCCATTTCTATTTAATATCTTTTTGTAAAAAAAAAGTATGAGAGAGTTCCTTCTGTCGTACTAGTCTGTATATAAAAGTATTTTGGGTGGTTCTAAGTGCACTTGGAACAAATAAATGTGATTTTGCTGAGCTCTGTGCTTCTTTTTTCTTCCTCCCAAATGGCTGTTTTTTTTAAGAGTTCCTAAGGGAAGATGTCAGAATATGAGCTGGGCTGGTCAATCAGCTGGACACTGGGGGAATCCAGAAAAAAGACCAATAATTCTATTAAAGATAGAGGTAAGGTAGTTTTAAACATCTTGACTTATTTTATGGATCCTGAAATAAGTATGAATAAAGTGAATTAATTTCACTGGATTAAGCTGCCTCTTAATTGCATTCCCTAGTTTCTCTCACTGGTAGTGGAAACAGTGTATTGGTGAGGTCTCGCAGTGTTTATGTATTACAGAATTAAATTTAACCTCAATCAGACATTATAACACCTATTTCTTACATTTGCCTCTTTAAAATGTCTAAGGTGAGAAAGATTCAGGGCTGAATCCCAATTCTGGTAACATCGAATAGATGGACATCCCATGAACAGACACAGGCATAAAGAGCAATGAGACTGCCTAGATGAGGTATGGTTTCCATGTGGTATCACATCACTGAGTTAAACTAAATAGTTTGGTCAACATAAACAGACAAGCAAAAAGCTTTTGAAGTTAATATTAACATTTCATAAAGGTCTGATGTTACAAAATGTCAAAGCTAGTTTAATTTAACTGTACAGGGGAAGAGACAGCCTTCAGGAGACCATTTCTAATGAGGATGTTCATCAACATCTCCAATTCCATTTCCTTTTTTATATTTTAAAATGTAATTGAATTGTTAATAATAGAGAATTATATACTGTCTCTTAGCCACAGGCTTTCAAACCTTATTCACAAAGTTGTGATGTTTTCAGATTGAAATGTGACCAGGTGCACATAGTCATTAAAGGAGCAGAATTATTTAATTGGAAACAGTGATACAATCATGAACATTAAAATTCTGTTATTATTATTATCAATAATCGTCAGAGGTTTCCAAACTTCGGTACAGACGTTAAACCGAGGTCCTGATTGCCTGTTCAGGTGGATGTTTAAGATCCTATGGCACTATTCAAAAAGAGAAGAGTTTCTCTCAGTTCCAGCCAACAATCCCTCAAATAAAATTAGTTACTCACTCCATTGCTGTTTGTGGAACATTGCTGTGTGCAAATGGCTGCTGCGTTTCGTCCACAAAATATACAGTCAATCCACTTTACAATATATCCTGTGAAGTACTTTGAGACATCTTGATGATGTGATAAGGCACTATGTCAAATGCAAGGATTATTATTATTTATTATACTCCATGAAAACAGACATTTCATTATTGAAATCTCCTAGACAAGTGTATTTTAAAACGTGCTTCTAATTATTCCTTCCATTCCCAAACAGGTCAGTAAACCACTCTGCTTCCTTAAATTACATTTGTTATAAAAATTACTTGCATCATTTTTGACCACACAAGTGGAGAGTGAGTGGTATGTCAACTTGATATATGTTTGCAGTGTCCAATGTTCCATTGCTGCAGCTTCAATATCAGTGTGAACTTTGACCCAGTATTAATATGTGGCAGAAAGCAGTATAGAAAAATAAATAAATTGTAAGGTCATTGAACAGAAAAGCCTTTGGGGCTCTTGTTCAAATGGCCATAAAATAGCTACCTAGGACTTTATTGAAGCTACGGGATTTTTCCTTTAAGGTTTGTACCCATGGAAACAGGATAAGTAATTGTCGAATCTGATATTCTCGTTGGGTTTTGTTGTGAATGTTCCTTAAATGTTCAGTAGAATTCCAGAAGCCTGCAATCATCAAAAGGTCTAAAAGACACAGGGGTCAACAGACAGGAAATAGAATGATCGCGAGCATTTGGGTCAAGAAAAAGTTAGAGTGAAGATGTGGAGCTATGATTAAAACATTTGCTGTGGGCAGATTGGCTGCTGCGCTCAGCAACAGAATACTACAATCAATACACATCACGGTGAATCCTGTGAAGCGGTTTGAGATGTCCTGACATGAAAAGCGCTATATCAAATTCAAGGATTATTGTTTATCTTCTTACATCCTCACTGTATTAAAAGCAAAATTTTGTTCACCGGTACCTCATTCTTTCATGGGACCTAAACTATGGAACTCCTTCATTTTCCCTTCTAGAATTTACTTTTAAAAGCTATGCCTGGTGTAACCCAACGCCTCTTGACTTTTTTAGTCATGGAAGTACATCACATATTGTCACTGAGACTTGAGGGAAACATACTCTGAAATACATTACGTTGGAATGGCATTTCCACAAGTCAGTCTCGGACCTCTGCATTTTTTAAATTAAGAAATCCTTTAAGAAATATCACAAAATTGACTCCAATATGTTCAACCATTACCTTCCAATAAGGTTCAACACTTTCATAATTATCCTACAATGTATAAATGGAGTGATACACAGCATCAGTAGTTCAGTAAACCTTTGCAGCATGAAATTCCTCTACTTGGAGTGTGTCCCCTTTAGCATCCTGACATGAAAGGCACTATATAAATGCAATTTATTGCTGGTGTGTACTGATGGGGATCTCTAATTACTGCAGAAGGAAATGGATGTTTTAGGAACCATCAGAGATACAGCATGCTTTATCTTTCCATTTAATATTGTAAACTATGTGCATTAATGAGAACTGCTATTTGTAGCACCATACCAGTATGCACTTCAGTTTTTCAGTATTAAATATTCATTCATTTGTCCAGTTGTTAAGGACTGCAGGGCTCTATGAATTATAATACTATATTAAAAACATGGCAGATTTAAATATGAGCTGCATAAACATTAAGGCAGCTTCAGGACAAGAAGAAATCAGAATTTTATCTTGAATATGTTGTTAATATTTAGATCATGTCCTGTCTGAGTCCCAGATGGACCAGTAAGTGAAATTCTTCATTTGCTTGTTATTTTCAAACTGCTGGTATAGCAATTCTGGAGAAAGAGACTGCTTGCCTCCTTATCCACTCTAATTGTATTCTGATCTCAATTCTAATTGGATCAAGTCTAATTTTAAGATTAAACCATGTTTTGGATTCCTAAACTAATGAATCGTAAAATTAGTTATCTACTACCTAGCTTACCAATTCCTTTCATTAATTTAAAACTTACAAACTA